ATGTGGCTGTTGTTTGCGAGGTGACGTTTCCGTCAACTTGCGCGGGGGTGGGAGCGGCACAATATCAGATTGCATGTTACCATGCATAGTCTCTCCGAAGAATTTGCCACCAGATAGTGCCGTGAACAGTGAGGAGTAGAGCTAGGGCTGACCGCCAACGGCCAGCTCCGCTACCAAGTTTGGAGCTGGTCGGGAGGCCCAACCAGATGCTTCGCCTAAGGCGAAGCATGCGTCCAACCCTGCTGTACCGTACCAACGATAGTCCCAGAAGGAAGAGTGAGCGGCGGGAGCGGCGATACATCTCAAGCAAAAAGGATGAGGCCGTTTCGGTCTCGACGTATGGTAGTGCGCCTCAGAGAGGCATAGTCAAATAGGTGGCCGGTCACTGGGCCGAAATGGCCGCGGACCAAGGATCGATACACCTCGCCTTTGCCCAGTCTCCTTTAGAGTTGGGGAAGAGGTATGGGAAGGGCAAGGCGACGAACGCGCTAAAACTATGGGTGCGAATTGTCGGATCCCGAGAGGGCCCCGTTCGAGCGGGAACCCCCATCCGTTTGCTGGGACCCCCAATCCTGGAGCCGCCAGAGAGCCCCGAAACGGCACTGGAGGGCCCCCGGAAAGCTCCGAAACGGCACCGGAGCCCCCAGAAGAGCCAGAGACGACCAACGACAGCCCCGAGATGACCCAAGACAGCCCTCAGACGACCAAATGTGCTCCCACAACGGCCCCATAGGCCGCCAAGACGCCCCGGGATGGCTCCGAGGGGGACAACCTAGAGGGGCCCAAGAGGCCGAAATCGCAGATTGTCGATGGGTTTCCAACGGATTCTGAGATGTCCGCGCTCTCAACTGGCTAGACCCCCAGGACGACCCAACAGGCCTCCAGGATCGCCCCAACACGGCCCAAGAGGCGCCCAAGAGAGCCCCAAGAGCCCCAAGAGAGCCCAAGAGGGGCCCAAGAAGCCGAAGAGGCTCCCAAGACGGCCCAATGAACCCCCAAAACGCCCCCAAGACGGCCCAACAAGCCTCCAAGAGGCCCCCATGACAGGCCAAGAGCCCGAGTCTGCCCACAAGACGGGCGAACATGCTATCAAGACAGCCCTAGTGGGCCTAAGACGCCCCAAAAATCGCCAGGAGGACCACCAAGAGGGCATGACGAGGCGGAAATCATCGATTTCACGTTCGGGCGATCGCACACCGCAACTTGCTGACATCTGAGCGCCAGCGACAGAAGCGCGCGCCGGCAAACTTCGACTCACACAGCTCCGTGGAATTAATCAACGGCTCCACGCTAGCATGTGTATGTATATATGGTCCAGGGTTTGGGCCCCCCCCCCCAATGCTGATGCCATTGGGCCCCCCCCCGCGCGATGGTCCCCCCCGCCCCCCCCTGTGGGCGTGGCGTGGTGCTGCGCTGCGGTTCCCCCCCCCCCCTGTGGATGTGGTGTGGTGCTGTGGTGGTTCAGAGGTGGGCGTGGCGTGTTGCACTGCGGTGCCCCCCTCCCCCCCCCCTGTGGATGTGGTGTGGTGCTGTGGTGGTTCAGAGGTCGTCGTCGTCGTCGTCGTCGTCGTCGTCGTCCTCGTCGTCATCGTCGTCCTCGTCGTCCTCGTCGTCCTCGTCGTCCTCGTCGTCGTCATCGTCGTCGTCGTCATCGTCGTCGTCGTGATCGTCGTCGTCGTCATCGTCGTCGTCGCCGTCGTCATCGTCGTCATCGTCGTCGCCGTCGCCGCCGGCGTCGTCGCCGCCGCAGCCGTCGTTGTCGTCGTCGTGGTCGTCGTCGTCGTCGTCGTCGCCGTCGTCGCCGTAGTCGCCGTCGTCGCAGCCGTCGTCGTCGTCGTCGTCGTCGTCGTCGTCGTCGTCGTCGTCGTCGTCGTCGTCGTCGTCGTCGTCTCTGGGGCCATACCATCTGGTGGGGGGGGGGCCCGAGGAATCCTGGGACCATACCATCTGGGGGGGGGGGCCCGTGGGCCCTCGACCCTGGATCATATATGTGTATGTTGTGGTATATCATGTATACAAATGATTTGTAGACATGCATATGCATACATATTTATGTGTATAAATAATACACATGTGTATATATATATATGTAAACATAAACATACATTTCATGAAAAAAGCCAAACCACATCGAAGACCGATAACAGTGACCGAACCGGACCGACCCGGCCCTAAACAAAGAAAATCAAAAACCGAACCGGACCGATTCATTCAGAGCCGAACCAAGGGGAACCGAACCGAACCAGAATCGGAACCGAACCGGCCCGCGGAGGCCCCCGAACCGAACCGACGAGAACCGAACCGGAACCGAACCGGAACCCAACCTGTCAAGGACTTTCCCTGGTCCGGACCCCTCGTCTGGACCCCCCCCAGGTCTGGACCCCCCCCGGTCTGGACCCCTTCCGGTCCGGACCCCCCCGCTCCAAACCTCCCCCGGTCCGGACCCCCCCCAGTCCGGACCCCCCCTCGGTCCGGACCCCCCCGGTCCGGACCCCCTCCCCTGGTCCCAGCCCCCCCCAGTCCAGACCCCCCCCCGGTCCGGACCCCTCACGGTCCGGACCCCCTGGTCCGGACCCCCTCTCCCGGTCCGGACCCCCCCCCGGTCCAGACCCCTCCCAACCCAAACCCCCCCTGGGTCCGGACCCTCCCCAATACGACCCCCCCCCCCGGTGCGGACCCCCGCCAGTCCGGACCTTCCCCAGGCCAAACCTCCCCCGGTCCGGACCTCCACCAGCGGTCCGAACCCCCCCCGGTCTGGACCTCCCCCGGCGCAGACCCCCAATCCGGACCCGGTCCAGACCCCCTCCCGCTCCGAACCCCTCCCCCCCGTCTGGACCACCCCGGTCCGGACCACCCCGGGGTCCAGAACCCCCCGCCCCCCGGTCCGAAACCCTCCCCGGACTTCCCCCAGTCCGGACCTCCCCCGGCCGGTCTGGACCCCCCCGACCCTCCCCGGTCCAGACTCCCGGTCCGGACGCCTCCCGGTCTGGACCTCCCTCGGTCCGGACCCCCCCTCGGTCCGAACCCCCCCGGTCCAGACCCCCCCTGGGCTGGACCTGCCCCGTTCTGGACCCCCCGCGGTCCGGAGCCAGGACCGAGCTCGTCGTTGGACCCCCATCGTCGTCGGCGGCGGCGGCGGCGGCCCTCTCGAGAGGGAGGCGGGATCAACCATCTCGAGGCAGATCCAGCCGTGAACAGATTCAGCCGTGAACCTCCAGGGGACGAACCTCGAACCTTTGGTTCTCCCTCGACGGCGGCGGCGACGACGACGTCGGGGGCGGCAGAGCTTCGACGGTTTCCTCGTGCGTTTCGGGCCCGCTCGCGGTCTCCTCGTCGCCGCGGCTGGATCCGCCACGTCGACGACGACGACGACGACGCCGGCAACGGCGACGACGACAGCGACGACGGCGACGAACGACGGAACGACAACGGACGGGCCCCTCGGCGTCGGCGTCGTCGGCCCTGCTCCTCGCTCCTTGCTCCTCCTCCTCCTCCTCCTCCTCCTCCTCCTCCTCCTTCACATCCTCCTCCCCTCTGCCTCCTCCTCCTCCTCCTCCTTCTCCTCCTCCTCGTCCTCCTCTTCCTCCTCCTTTTGTTTTCAAACTGGGTCGTCGCTTACGCGCGCGGGGCGCCCAACGTCGCACCCAACCAATCGGGCCGAACCGAACCGGACCCGCCAATCGAACCGAACCGAACCGGTCGGACAGAACCGCGCGAAAACCGGAACCAAACCGAACCGGCAGCAGACCCAAGCCGAACCGGCCGAAACCGAACCGACGTCAAAACCGAACCGACCAAATAAAACCGAAACGGCTGCAGAACCGGACCGAACCGAATCGAGACGATCCCTTCGTGACATATGTACATGTAAATATAGTTTAGTTTCCCTCTCAATGATCTGTTGCCCCGATCCTCTCCCTCCCGGTCCGCCTGCCCCACCCGTCCACATCCCTCTCCCTATCGATATCCTCATCCTCAACCAATGCAGATTGCCCCTTCTTTCCCCTTTATCCCATTTTCCCCTTCCCCTCCCCCAACTGCCTGTCCTTCTCTCCCTCGGCCTTCTCGTCTCTCGCCTCGCCTCGGACAGCAAAGTCGCTAACTACCCACCACCTTCCACTCACCAACCTGCCCACGCAGTCAAGACTGTGCGCCGTGAGCCCAAACTTTAGTGCCACGAGCTCTGCTGTGAACGCGGAGTGAGTTCTGGTAAGGCAGCGGCCAGCACTGCTTAGCTTGACAAAACAGTGAGGTTGATAACAAAACAGTACCGTGTGGCCGTATACACCGTGCCGAAACTATGGTGGCTGAGTTGGTAACCAACATGTTGACGAGTTTGTCGTCGCCGTGCTTCCATGTCTCCTTCTCCTAAAACTGCTCAGTTCATGGAGCTGTCGCACCAGCCGCCCCCGCGGTGGCCAGCACCGTCCAGGGCATCTCGGGTACGAACAGCGCGATCGTTAGGAAGCCGCGGGCCTCCCCACGGAGGACGCGTGCCGTGCATGCACCGTGACCTTGCGGCGCTCCGTGCGTCGGTTCGTGCGCCCTGGCATGCACGGCGGCAACCGAATGGCTGCCACCGCGGGCATCCCCGTCAAGATGGATGAGGAGGCCGCTGACTTACACGGTGCGGAGGCGGTCGACTGGCGGGTTGCACCGCTGGATCCACGAGAGCCGTTCGCCCATCGTCCGGTTCACAAGGTGGGTGGCGATCTTGTCACGGCACCAGCGTCGCCAAGATCCAGGGTCCAGGGTTGGCCCACGCCCCTTTCCTCCCTCCCACCCCGTCCATTTGCTGACAGGCTGTATGCTTCAACAGAGTCGCAGTCCAAAAATCCCACCCCGTCCCTCCCCTCCCGCGCTCCACGCCCCCCCCGTCCTTCCCCCCTCTCCCTCCTCCGCGCCCTTGCCCCCACCCCGTCCCCGACGGGTCCACCCCGTCCCAACCCTGACGCTGCTCTGCCTCTGCCGCATTCGACCCGCGGCACCCACAGGCCCGCCTGCGTTCTGGCACGCGTGGGCCGCGGTGGCGAGGGCAACTGGGCGAGCGGAGAGGGGGGCAGCAGGGTGGCATGTGCACCTCCTCGTCCCTCCAGCCCGCTGTACAGCCCTTCCCATCTCCACCCCTCGCACGCTCGCTCCCTTCACTCCTCGCTCCCTCCCTGTGCGCTTGCTCCCTTGTAACCACCCCTCCCCCACATCATTCCCTCCCCATCCTTCTTCTCCAACCCCCTCCCTCCTTCCACTTGCTCTGTCCGTCCTCCTCCCTCTCCTCCCCGTCTTCCATCTCACCAGACTGCTCCTGATGCCAACATTGTCAATGATGCAAATACTACCAGTGCTACTGATACCGCTGCTGGCACTGCTCCTACTGACACCAATGCAAAGACAATGGCACGATCACTACTAACAACTAACCACAACTCGGCACCATTCACAAACAATCACCACTACTACAACTACGACTACTGCCGTCACTACGACATGGACCACGACTACTATTCTTGCTGCACTGATCGCGAGCACGGCGAATACTTCTTTCACTACCTACCCCAACTAAACATTACCACCACGGAGGGGCTGAAGGACACGAGAGGGTTGCAATAGACTCTCCCATCCTTTATAAAAAAAAAGATTCCATTTCACTCCGGGAAGCGCTCCTTCGAAGGACGGGCATAGAGAGTACCTGCCCTTCAGACGCGAGTCCCTTTTGAATTGGAACTGTCCTGCATCCTTCGATGCTATCGGAAATGCGAAGAACTTTGGGTTATAAAGGGGTGAAGGCATGTCAAGCGAGAGCGCTTTTGTTGAACAAGAACCGCAATCCATCCTTATGTAGCGATACGCGTGGCGCTAGTGCGATGGCGACATTCCCGACACAATGCCTGCATTTCTGGATGTTCGCGCTGTTGCCGCTGTGGCCGCCTCGTGGCCGCCCCGTGCTTCTGGGTTGTGGCGGCCCATGGCCGCCTCATGGCCGCCCCGTGCGCTGGCTGGCGTTTCCGGGGTTTCGTCCAGTGGCCGCCTCGTGGCCGCCTCGTGCGCTGGCTCGCGTTTCAGGATGCGCACATCGCTTGCACCACAAATTGTACCACATAGCTTGCACCCCTTCGCTTGCAACGAGTAGCTTGCATCAAATAACTTGCGCCACAGGTCTTGCACGCATAGACTGCATCCCAGAGATTGCAGCACGTAGATTTTCCCGCACAGCTTGAGCTTGAAAGCGTGCGCCGAATAGATTGCAGCCCACAACTTGCACCACAGACCATTCAGGTCAAGAGTGCAAGAGTCCGTTGCTTGGGGCTCACGCTGGCTAACATGTTGAGAACGATTGACTATCCATCCTTGTCGCTGCTGGAATATTGCAAGACGAATGCGAGCGGCGCTGAGACGAAAGCGTCATGTTAAGACACACCCACCCTCCATCCCTCAAACTCTTCGGCCTGGCCTCCATCCTTCTGTGGTTGCTGGAAATGTTTAAGACGAATGCGCTCGGCGCTAAGGATAGAGCAACATTTTGAAAACCACCCGCCGTTCATCGTTGAAGCTCTTGGGCACGCCCTCCATCCGAGCACTTGTTCGAAATTCTGGAGCTCAGAGCCATGAGCGGAGAAGGGGTCTCAAGCGAAACGCCTGGCCCGCCCCTACTTGCACGCCTAGTGGCGCTACCATGGAGGGCGAACTGTCTGCGAGGTAAGAGGAATCGAAAAACGAGCGCGAACGGACTCGCAGAATGTTCGTTTCCTCGGACCGTGCAGTCCCGGGTGGCGCGCCACGCGACGCCCGCCGATCGACAAGAACCAAAAGAGCCTACTTGGGCGGCGCGCACACTGAGGCGGCTCTGAGGTGGGGCGGCCGTCCAAGATGGCAACGGGGTAGTCTCATGAGTGTTCGGAGGCCGCAAGAATGCGTCTTAGAGGACTCTAAGCCCCCCAAGAAGCCCCTGCTCAACTAGAAGGCCACACCCGTCACCACACCCCCGGCCAAGGTCCCGTCAAAAAGCACCACCCTCAGGGTCCTCGTGGGCCAGTTTTCCCTAGCAGCGTAATGTCGTGGCCACGAGAGGGGAAATGAGCCACGCGCAAAAAGCTCGAGCCCACGTCCCACCCCTTTCTGCGCGCCGCCGCCGCCAGATACGAGAGCCTGTGGAATGGGCTTCCGCCACACCAGTCTACTGAGCTCGCGCGGTGCACGAGGGGGCGAGCCTCTTCGCAGCGCTCAGCGGGCGGCGCGTGCTCAGACCTTCTTCTCCCCCAACAGAGCCGTAGCCTCGCTGTCGATCGCCTTCTTGCCCAGCGGGCTGCCTCCCGGGTGGACTGGGGGAGGAAGACGAGGATGGACCGTGCGGAGGCCTCAAGAGGCCTCTGGAGCACTCTGGCGGCCTCGGGAGACCTGCGGGGGCGTTCAGAAAGGAGGATTGGCAGCACAAAACTGTAAAACAAATCAGCTGCACGCAGCAAGCTCTTCTAGAGCGTCCCAGCACCCGAGGCGGCCATGCATCGAGCGAAGTGCCTGGGTGGGGCCGAAACGGATTTGTGCAGCATGTCGTCACCCCCGCATCTGGTCATACCTCCCACGCCCTGCCGAACCCCGCATTTTGTCACCCCCTGGGCCTGGGAATGGGCCGTAGCCAACACCCAATATCGTCTCGAAGTGCTTCACCAACTGGTGATCTGGGAAGACCTTCATAAACGACCAGAAGAAGACCCCGCTGAGCGTAACGGAGAAGGAGAGCCACTGGCTCATAGTGATCGAATCGTGGAACACCACCGAGGAGAAGACAACCAGGCAGATGTCCTTCACCACTCCTGTGATGATGAATCCCACCGCCGAGGTCTGCTTGATAACCTGGGCGATCATCACGTTGAGGCAGAACGCCATGCAGGCATTAGGAATGAGGTACGGCCACCACACCGCCAAGTCGGTGATGACGGAGTGGTCCCATGTGACGGCGTTGCCAATGCCGAGAACCACGAGGCACACGGGGGCCATGAAGAAAGTATAGCTCAGCGGATCCAGCTTGAACTCGCTGCCCGTGAGCACAAGCTCGGCAACGACGGCCCTCGCGCACTCGGCAAGCTGGGACACGCCCTGCAGCATGAAACCGAGAAACACGAAGTTCAGCTCCCCGTGAACGCAGAGGGAGGAGCCCAGGATGACCCAAGCGATCACGACAATGCGCTGGCGGTTGACGAGCTGTAGTCCAGCCAGCGCGGAGAACAGGAAGACGAGCACGACATTCGCCTCCTTCATGAACTGCAGGAAAGCGACGCTGCAGTACAGGTAGGCCCTGTTGGAGCCGTACAGCATGATCGCGAACAGGAAGCCGATGGGTGCCAGGTACTTGTAGAGCTTCGCAAGCTTCCCCTTGCACGACTCCACGCTGGGCATAGCGGACGGCCGAACCAGCAGCACCAGCGAACAGAGAATCAGGCTGGCGGTCATGTGCATGGCCGTGAGCGCCATGGGGTGCGGGAAGCGAGCTTTATTCATGAGGTACTTGTTGAAGTTGATGAGACCGCCGCTCAGCGCGATGTAGCCTGAGCACAGCGCCAGAGTCTTCATCACCTGGAGCGCAGAAAATCCACCGCTGGTGCTCTCCGTCATCTCTCGCGCTGGGTTCGGCTTGGAGGCCGCGGGGTGCAGTGGATTGCGATATCGAGGGCCGAGGACGTGTCAGGCTTGGACCACAGAGTGCCCATAGACCCAGAGTTCATCCTCTCTCCTCCCCCTTCTCTACCCCCTCCCCCTGCCCCGTCCCACCTGTGTCCCTCCCTCCCTCCCTCATCTCCACACTTCTCCTGCGCATCTCGCCAACCTCTGCTGCGAGACATGCAGTGGGTGGGGAACTGGATGAGAACTGAGATTGGTAGGTGGGATAGCTGTTGCGCGATGGAACTGTGGCTGCATCATTGTTTCAACTGTCAGCCGCGGGGCCAGAATAACTAATAGCAGCACGGTGTTGACGCATGCGAGGGCTCATCAAACCAGGGATGGCTCTCTGGCGTGCGTGCTTCACTCTCGGTGCGCCTCTGCCCGCGTGGTTGTGACTGAAGGCATTTGCGAACAGTCCAGCTTTGTCCGTGATGGTTGCACCCTGTTCCAAAATTCCTGCGTTTGACTTTTCGTTCTGAAGGCGTCCTCGAATGATCCTGGGCGCATTCCAAGACTCGAAGGTGTCTTGGGCGCGGGTAATTACTGCGAGGCGGTCCAGGGTCAAACTTGCTCGGGTCTCCAGAGTCTGAGACAGCCCCTAACATAATGGGGCACAGCTGCAAACCCTCCTCCTTTCTCCTCCCTTCTTCGCCCATCCCTCCACACCCCTCCTCCCCCCTCCCTCATCCCGAGCGACAGCTCGGCCCGAGCCTGCGGGCTCGTCGCGAGCCCTCGCCGCGGGCGCCCCGCACCGCCCTCCTCCTCCGCGCGCCCCGTCTCCCCCCTCCCCGCGCGATGGTTTCGGGCCGGGAACGGCGGCCTCGCCGGCCAAACAGGTCCGCTGCCGGGCGCCGGGCCCAATACCGTCGCGCCGATGGGAAAGCTGTGTGGCGCATTCTGCAGGCGTTCGACGCCGTAGAGCGCCATCGCGGCCAAGGCCTCAGCAGCCTGGCCTGGGCTCTCGGCGAGGCGCTCGCGGGCCCGCATGCAGAGGCGTCCGAAGATGCGGAGATGGCCGCCGCAGGAGGAGCGGGTGGTCCCCCGTGTGCTGGAGCCGAGGGTCTTCGGAACGAGGGAGGTGCAGCTCCCCCTGGCGCTGAACGCCCCGCGCGGCGGCTGCAACGCCTCCCACGGGATGCCCGAGTGGGATGGCTGCCCCAGAGTGCGGCGGAGGCGGGCGCGGATCTTGGCCATGCCGCTTGCGGCGCGGGAGCCCCAGATGCCCAGGACCTGCCTGGCGAAGCATGCGATGCCGGTGTCCACGACGAAGTGGCGGGGGCGGCCGAGGCACCAGGTGCGGCCGCACCCCCTCCCGCGGGGCCCCTGCGGGGGGGTAACTTCCCCCGACGCGGTGGAGGCAGTCGCGGAGCCAATAGTGCAGCCTGACGCGGGAGTCTTGGCGTTCAGGACCATCGTGAAGCTGTTGGCGATGAAGGTGCTGGCGCGGACGTCGGAGCGCTGCTGCACGAGCTCGGGACGGCGATGGCTTCGGCTGGCCCTGCCCCGTCGGATGCCGAGCCAGCCGTGGCTGGTCAGTGCCGAGCGGGTGCGGCTCCTCCGAGACGCTGATGCCCTGCGAGGAGGGTCGGGCTCGGCGGAGTGCCCCCAGAGCTGCACACGGCCAAAGAAAGAAGCAGCGCCGCATATCCAAGGAGGCCTCTAGAGAAGAGGGAGGCGTGTAATTGGGGAGTGGCAGCCGCATGCCCAGGGAGGCTCCTAGAGGGGGGGGCGTGTACCTGGGGAGTGGCCACAGCTGCTCAGAGAGTAGGCACCACATGGACATGTTGTAGCTGGGTTGCTCGCATTGGTCGTGGTTTCAGTTATTATCAGAATCAGCTGATATACTTCCCATCGCCACTCAAACTTGTGAAGGAACATGATCAGCAGTCTTGCTCAGCATTGCGTGAATTGACTTTTCTATGTGATATGTGAACACGTGTGACTGGTGCAGGCAGTCTGAAATACGGTGAGCATTGCCAGGTGATACACAGTTTCTTACGTCTTGTTTCTTTGATCAAATCATAAGAGCTTTGCATCATCACTGTAGCCGACATGGTCGCAATATCCGTAACTCCGTAACCCCTCCCTCATCCCGCCTTTCCTCATCCCTCGTTTCACCTCCTGGCGACGGAGGCTTGGATTTCTCCCGTGGCACAACTGTACCCTTTGCGAAGACCCTCCTTCTGCCTCTCGTCATTCATGGTGCGTGCATCCCTTACCTCCCCCTCCCGCCTCCCGCACCGCATCTCCCACCTCCCACTCTGCCACCCTCCCTCTTCCCATATTCCTGCCCCTTCTCCTCCTCCTCCTCCTAATCCTCCTCCTCTTCCTGATCATCATCATCATCATCATCATCATCATCATCATCATCATCATCATCATCATCATCATCATCATCATCATCATCATCATCATCATCATCATCATCATCATCATCATCTTCATCTTCATCATCATCATCATCATCAGCAGCAGCAGCAGCAGCAACATCACCATCATCAGCATCATCATCATCTGCAGCAGCATTATCAGAAGCATCATAATCATCGTCATCATCATCATCATCGTCATCATCATTATCAGCAGCAGCATCACCAACACCATTATCATCGTCAGCATCATCATCAGCGGCAGCATCATCACCATCATCAACAGCAGCATCATCAGCGCCAACATCAGAATGCTCATCATCAGCATCAGCATCAGCATAATGAGCATCAGCATCATCATCACCATCACCAGTACCAGCATCATCGACATCATCATCATCAGCAGCATCATCATCATCACCGTCATCATCATCATCGTCACCATCACCAGCATCATCAGTATCGTCGTGATCATCATCACACCAATCATCCTCATAATCAGCATCATCATCAGCATGAGCATCAGTATCTGCATCAGCATGATCAGCATCACCAGCAGCATCAGCATCAGCATCAGCGCCTACAGCAGCATCAGCATCAGCTTCAGCATTAGCACCAACATCAGAGCAGCAACATCATCCGCTTAGATGTCAGCATCAGCATCAGCAGCAGCATCCTCATCCTCATCCTCGTACGCACCCTCGTCCTCCTCATCATCAGCATCAGCAGCAGTAGCATCACAAGCATCATAATCACCATCATCATCATCATCAGCATCATCATCATCATCATCACCAGCATCATCATCATCATGCTCATCATCATCATCATCATCATCAGCAGCAGCATCATCATCAGCAGCAGCATCATCATTATCATCATCATACTTATCATCACCATCATCTACAACAACATCGCCATCCTCAAAGTCACCATCAGAATCGGCATCATCAATATCGTCCTCATCAACGTCATCATCAGCATCATAATAGTTATCATCATCGACAGCAGTGTAATCATCAGCAACGTCATCAGCATCATCAACAGCATCATCATCAGCAGCAACAGCATCAGCATTATCATCATCAGCATCAACAACATCATCATCAGCATCATCATCAGCATCAGCAGTATAGTCATCATCATCATCGTATCATCAGCATCATAATCAGTATCATTATCATCATCAGCAGCATCATCGCCGTCGATGCTGTCACCATCATCATCGCCATCAGCATCAGCATAATCATCATCGACATCATCATCAGCATCATCAATATCATCATCATCATCATCATCATCATCATCATCATCAGCATCATCATCATCATCACCACTTTCATCAGCATGATCATTGTCCCTCTCCTCATTCTCCCCCTCCTCCTCCTCATCATCCTCCTCTTCCTTCTCCGCTCCCCATCCTGGAGTGCACGCCCGAGGACATCAGGTGGCCATCTCTGTTTCGCCCGCTGCGGGTCCTACACCAAGAGAACGAAGATGGAAGAGCTTGGCGCATGCACTCCCTGGGGACGCTTTTCACGCGTGCCTGGTACCGGTGCCAAGTTGCCTGAATCGGCGGCGGCCGACAATCAATTCGAACTTCATCGTGGAGCGGACGCAAAGTTGCCCGCAAGACGCACGCGGACAGAGTGGCCACTGTCTCCGTTCCGAGTGTTTGCTGTGCGAGGGTGGGGTTTCTCGTGGCAAGCGCCATCGTTCCTAGGTTTCGCAAGGTGAGAATACGACCACGCCTCCGTTACGTGCTGCCTCTCGTTGTTATCAGACCTCGCCGTGCGGCCTTAGTCTACGCGCCTGGTTTTCTTTGGTGAGTTGTACACAGACTGGAGATCCTCAGGCCTAATGTGGTTACGCGACTGCGTTGCAGCTCAGACTCATGCAGATGGCGTGCTCCTGACTGCGAGACCAACCTCTTCGCATGTCTATCACGGCCAGCTCGGCGAGCGTGGGGAAAATTGCTCCTTAAACGCTGCTCCTGCGGGCAGGGTGAGCGTGGCGCTGAACTGTGGAATCTCAACTTGATCGCGCTCGAGAGAACTGCTGACGAGTGATCGTGCATGGATGGGCGAGAGATCTCGCGCGTCCCTGCAGGCAGTGCATAGAGGGGTCTCGGCGCACAGACGCCAGACTGTTGCGGTGTGCAATGCACAATCAGCTGAGGTGATGGACATCGCGGTCCGCTGGGTGGGAATGCGCTGTCTCGGGCGAGCTGCTTGTGGCGTCACGTGGGTGCGGAGTACAGAGCGCGCTGTCTGGCGCCCGCATACGGTTGTGTGAGTCTGGTGCGCCCTGAGCTGGACTCACGTTGCACCTCAGGCGAGCGGCACAGTCGTCTTCAGCATCATCGTCGCCGTCATCACCAACGCCAGTTGCATCACCGCCCTCGTCCTTTTCATCCTCATACACATCCACGCAGTCATTTTCATCACCGTCCACAGGCCCGCCTCCCCCCCTTCTCGCCATCCATTAGCTTCCTCCTCGCCAGCATCATAACGTCACCCGGGCCAAGAGACTCTAGACATGATGTCCTAATGGTTGCGCCAGATGTTGCATCAGACACCCCGTGGGCAGCCAAACCATCCGTTGCACCAGCGGGTCTGCCATAGGTTGCGCCAGAAGTTGGGCCAGACAACCCGCGGGCAACCAAGTTGTCCGCTGCGGTTGCGCCACACACCCCGTGGGCAACCAAATCGTTCCCTGCAACAGTCAGTCTGCACCCGGTTGCGCAGCAGCTTGCGCCAGACACCCCGCGGGCAATCAAGTCGTCCATTGCCACAGTGGGTCTGCCATGGGTTGCGCAATTGGTTGCGCCATGTGTTGCACCATACTCCCCTGCAGACAACTAGTGCGTCCGTTAGCCCACTGCACGCACTGCACATTGTCGTAGACAACATCGCAGCACTCTCTGCCGAGGTGAACACATGCTGTCCTCAGGATAGCCATTTCATCACCGCGCGATCACCATCTACACCACCATACGATTGTCATCATCGTTATCAACAAGAATGCCACATCCGCTTCGTTCTTTATATCATGCATCCTTGGTAGATCACCATGTCATCATCATCGACATCATCGGCATCAGCATCACTACAATCATTACCATCCTTTCCCATCCTCCTCACCCCTGCCTTCCTCCATCCTCAACCACCGAAGATGTTCACACCACTGCAGGTTTCATCCGAGAACCCGAACCCTCCCTGAACTGGCGCTCGGTCTGTCCACGAGCCACCCTCTGATCACCACAATATCACCGCGATTGTGATGAGAATGATGGTGGTGAGCACGATTGAGAGGCCCAATCCTCTAGAAGAACGAAAAACAGCACAAGCATAAACTGTCGGATGTCCGCGCTGATTCCTTAGACTGGCACGAACCACTGTCAAATCCACTCCAAGTGGGTACCCAGACCCCTCCCAGGGCCAACCATGACGGTTCATGTCGCAGCAATGATCAACGGCCGCGGGGCCCCGAGCGGCCGTAACCCGAAGAAAAAACCCTCGAACCTCCTCTCGTCCCTCCTCCCTCCTCTCTCTTGATCCTCCGTTATCTCCGCCCCATCATATTTGCCCCTCGACCTCTCCTAGGGCGCGTTCTGGCGGGACCATGTATACGATTCCAGTCGTAGCCATGAGGAGCCTCGCTTCAAAACTTCATCTACCCTCGTCTTGCTCCTCCTTCTCCCCGGGGACAGGCTTTGATCCCAGGTCCATTTCTGACGGGCCTGAGGCCCGAAAACGGACCTTAGTCCATGAACAAAACAGAATATGGACAGACGCCCGACACCTAAGTCCGTTTCCCTTACCTCCTGTTTCTCCCCCACCTTGCGCGGGGGCAGATGAACTGTTGTTTATGTGTATCCTCCTCCTCCTCCTCCTCCTCCTCCTCCTCCTCTTACGCCTCCTCCTCCTCCTCATCCTCCTCCTCATCATCATCATCATCATCACCATCAGCATCA